CCGGCAGTCCAAAACATCCTCACAGCCCGTCGACGCAGCAGAATCAACAGCAGCAGCAACAGCTCCACGGCAGTCAACATCAACCACCGCCGTCTCATCAGCAATCGCACGGGCGTGATCAGATTCGCGATCATCCGCAGCAGCAACCGCAGCATCGTGGTGTGCCGACACCGGGATCGCCCACGAGAGGTTCACCACCCCAGGGCCTTCCTCTGAGTCCACCGCCGTTGTCGGCCGGGGGCGGCCCCGGGGCACCGCCGGGTATGGTGCCTCGTATGCCGGGATTGCCGCCGCCGGGACTGGGACTGCTGGGCCAGCTCGGTGGTATGCTGAGCGGACACCATGGCTCGCCGTTGGAACTAATGGCAGCTCATCACGCGGTTCTGCCACCAAGATCCTACAACAGTCCACCGCCGATTAGTACTAGCGATCCTACCGCCAACGAGTGCAAGTTGGTTGACTACCGTGGCCAAAAGGTCGCCGCGTTCATCATCGCCGGCGACACGATGCTCTGTCTGCCTCAGGCCTTTGAGCTGTTTCTCAAACACCTTGTGGGCGGCCTCCACACAGTCTACACGAAGCTCAAGCGACTGGATATCGTGCCGTTGGTGTGTAACGTCGAGCAGGTTAGGATTCTACGCGGTCTCGGAGCCATCCAGCCCGGCGTCAATCGGTGCAAGCTGCTCAGCTGCAAGGACTTCGACATTCTTTACAGGGACTGCACCACGGCCAGGTAGGTTGATGACACTCGGAGAAACGTGATAATAAGATTCTCCTGTCTGTTCAATTCTCGTTCGTCGATTAGGTCGTTACGATTCGTGAGCAGGCGTTTTTAGATCAAGAAAAACTTGCGTTTGTCTAATTCGTGGCATTGAGTTTGTAACTGACAATTGACATGCTAAATATTTCGGATAGGAGAGAGAGTAGGGGCTTTATTCTCGAAAAATATCACACACAAGAATACTATAGTATACGTTACGTGTATTATAGATTTTCGTATGCGATGTAGGATAAAAAAATATAGGCCTTCAGAACTCTTGAAACCGTGACTTAATTTCGACGAAACCAATTTTTTTGATGTTGCCTCGTGGCGATCGTGCCACGATTTTGAACGTTTCTGAAAAGAAATCCTATCCATAATAGCGACGGGTGGCAGATGTTTGTCGACTGTTAGCCATAATTAATGCCAGTCCATTTCGATAACAAGATAAGGAGAATAAGATTCCGGAAATAACACTCACATACTGAGCGCCTCAACGCGCTTCTTGGGCGCCGTTACTACGAACGGAAGCTACGATCCTCGCATACATTAATAACGCATGATGTCGCCGCTGGGCAGCACTTTATCTTCGCCCTGTACCTTGGCTTGGCTTTCACGCTACCAGTCCGCCAAAAAATACTTTAATTGTGTACCACCTACCGCTCTTTAAGACTTGATCATCGTCGAAAACAGCTCCCGGTGACCCTCGGGCCTTTTCGTATAGATAGTTCATGAGCGATCCTCATCGTGAAATTGCTTCACGAAATTGCATTTTGTGGTTTGAAAGGAATGTCATTTCAAGAACATAACTTTATTTGCATTTAAGATAGTCGCGTTAAAACGAGAGACATATCGTAGCTGCTTGTAAAATAATATTTACGCGAAATAGAGCAATCATTTGGTGCACCGTACGACAATCGAGAATTAAAATATCCGAGTCGTGTGGCAGCGGCACGTGCTCCTCGTTTCTAGGATTGTCACCGAGTTCCCGCGCCAACAGGTGTCCCTTTCACGGCAGTTTCTCTGAATGAATCGTCCCCGAATAGGGAGAGAAAGAGAGGATGTCGGGCGAGAGGAAGAGAGCCTGGTTGTACAAGCTCTCTCGCACCCCACCCACGAGGTAGACGACAGACGAAACGGAATGGTAAACGGAACGAGGGGATTTAAGGTCGCCAGAGAAAGTGTTGTCCTCTCGATGCCGTCTCTATCAATCCGGATCATCCCATCGATCAACATTTCGTTCTAGTCGATAGGCTCGACAATTTCATTCGATATACTCTCGACAAATTAATCACTTGCTATGTTTAATTGTCACGATATAATCGAGATTTTTCGGTATTCGCGGCGGGTCGTGAATTGCGTGGCAAATGAGCAATACTTATTCAGCGTGCGATGCGCAGTGGCAGTCACAACGGAAACGGATTCAACGCGACACAGAGAGAGGGACCGAGCGAGAGGGAACCGAGGGATATCCCGAGGGACGGAGTGAAAGAGCTAGAGAGATAGCCAGAAGGAGAGAGCGAGCGCGAGAGGTAGAAGGAGGAAGCTCGTAGGGATCGCAGGGATCCAAATAATCCCGAGTCGCAGTCACAGAACAGAATTCCGCGAGCCGTCGGCTCGTACGGGTCTCGCCTTTCCAAAGTACGTTTTATCGTTTCGTTAGATTGCTCTTCCTCGCGATGTCAAATTCAAACTATAATTCGATTAAAAAATCGCCGGTTTTCCTCGATATTCTATTACATCTCTGCCCATTAGAGATTAATCTTACGTTTCTGCTTTCCGTTACAAATAGTATTATGATCTAGAAAATGAGGACTTGCTCTTATTTCTTGAGTAATTTTCTCTAATTTTGAAATTCTGTCTCTAAAGTATCGTTTAACAGCACACATCTAGATTAGCATCTAATATCAAGGACAATTTTCAATTCGTTATTAGTATTGATGATCATATGTCCAGAAATATTCGTTGTGTTCATACGCGTCGCGATGATGTAAAAAAATGAAGCAACCTGGCTCTTCTTTAGCTTGCCCTCAAAATCCTCGGACATTCTATTTCCACTGGTCTTTCTACATTCTGATCGCAAAGAAACGAGATTGTAGAAAAGCGCAATGGCGATAGTGAAAAACAGGATGATCAAGTGGCTGGGACACGATCGTTTTGTGCAGTACGATCGCGTGTAACGTTGACGTCGTTACATTCTGATAATACACGGCAACGGTAGCGGTAGCAACGGGTACACACGGCCGTGCCACATCTACGACGAACCAAACCACACACCCGCACGCGGACGATGTAATACGCGCGCGCATGCACTTGCACACCTACGTGGAGCGACTGCACGTCGACCCCCGCGCCTCTTCTATCGGACCGATGCAACAGCATGCGCCCAGAACCGCACCAATAATTCAGGGGGATTTTTCTTGCGGTTTACAGCGCGGCACCGGGTGCGTTGTTCCGTTCGGACGGCCCGTAGATACACAACCGATTGCGCCGGACGTGCCGTATTTCGTGCTCACGGGCAGTAATAGTGTTGAAAAGCGAGGAATGCAGGCGACAACGACGAATGCAAAATTATAACGCCGCGAGAGAAGGAGAGAGAGAGAGAGAGAGTTCATACGCGAAAGAATCATTCGCGGCAGACACGCGTGTTGGGTTGCGCTGTGTAACAAACGCACGATGCGTTACTACAGCATATGTAGTGTATGTTTAAATGCCGCGTTATTTCTTATCGCGAGACTTCCTCTCCGTAGATGCCATCGTTCGAGCACGTCTTTAAAACGCGAATCCGAGCCGGGAGGTCACTATCTGATCGAGAACGCCGACAGATATTCCTGTTACACGCTGAAAAGTAATCGACTGCAATAATTGCGCGCGTCGTATATCATGCATATAAGTCGATGCGAGCCCTACGATAATCGGCAAGAAAATAATAATGTGGCCGCGTTGTGCACAACTAACGAGACGAGTCAATTATATTAATTAATTTGCCTAACTCGGTCGGACGAACGAAGGAACGATCGCCTCGCAAACTGCCTCTTCGGAATTGAGTCTCTAATTGGGAATTCGTGAAAAGAGGTCGCGTCGAGGAGACAAAGAGAGAAAAAAAAGAAAAAAAAGAAAAAACATAGAAGACATACGGAGGGAAAAGGGATAACGCGTGATTTTTCTTCATTCTTCCTTCTTCCTATCAAGCGCAGCGTTCAGTATACCTGGTATAACAGCCAGTTGAAAATACGTGGGAGTGCGCGCGGCCCTGGACTATAATTCTATGCGCTATTAGCCGTTTAATTATAAAATTGTGCATAGATTAATTGGCTCCCGTAATGGCCCTAACAATGCACAGACATATTGTGAGAGAGCGAGAGACACAGGGGAGAGAGGTGGCAAAGGGGAGAGAGAGAAAGGAGGGGTATATAGAGAATAGAACCAATGAAAAGAGGAGGGAGAGAGAAGGAGAGAGAGAGGAGAGAGAGAGAGAGAGAGAGAGAGAGAGAGAGAGAGAGAGAGAGAGAGAGATGGCAGTAGAAAGCCGTTATTAATATTTATTTCCTCTGCTCGCTCCTCCCAGCTCCTGGTTGTTGCCGTGCGCCGATGCGTGGTTATAGGCTACGTAAGCTTTTAATATCTATGCGCTCGTGTTAACTGCACGAATACACAAATAGGGCTCGGTAAAGTCCTCGTATGAACGCGACTGTGCTCTCTCCGCGGCTATGCTCGGGAAGCGTCGCGATATTATTTGACGGACGTCTCGAAAAGGGATCGCTCGATTCTTTTGCTACAGCGACGTCGAGTGGAGAACTATCATCTCCTCTTCCCCCTTCTCTTTCTCTCCGTCTCTTTCCTTCTTTCTTTCTCTGTGTATATACGAACACGTATCTATCTGGTAATTGTATCGTTTACAGCAGCTGGCAGGCCTCTCGGCCTTTTTTCCCCGTTACGTATCCTGCACAGGGAATTGGGCCGCCAGCGTGATATTATAAAGGCTCGCATGACCCCATTGTTAGCATTACTTTTCATCGAGATATATACGCGTATGTTGTTGCCGCCGTTCCGTATGTACACGCGCTAGTAGACTCACCCACGACGTACGTGAGCGAATGCGTGCGTGCGTGTCTCTCCATTAAATCTGCTTGTCGATTAATCCTATAACCGAAAACGAAGTCCGCGCGTTTGCCGCTGCTGTGCGTCAGTATCGTGAGAATAATTCAGGCAACTCTCCAATCGATGAAAACCGCGCGAGGTGGATAAGCCTTGAACTTTATAATATATAGTAACGAAATACAGCCACGCTCTGGTTTTTTTATTGATATAAAAAATGGAAACTTTTCCACCTCGATTGGAAAATTCAAATGCATCATAACGTATTCGAATGTCAGTTGTTATTGGTTATTTCGGAGCACGTATACGAGCTGTTTAATGACACAGTCACGACATCAGTTTTGTTCATTTATTCATTTATTCGTCGGTTTAACAGCTGTAAGCTACAGTTGTTTATCGAGTTGTTTAATTACTCGATGCCACTTTGAAGAGAAACCGGAGCGGTCTTCTCCGGTCTTTATAGAATCCTCACAGTCCTCGAAGCACGGCCAGCGGTCACTAATCTCTTCTTACAATCGTTCTTAATTTACGGAAATTAATTGAAAACACAAACCTGAGAGGGGTGCTTTTCTTCCCAGCATCCGTCCTCCCCCCAACCACGGTACCGTCCACCATTACCACCCAGCCTACTCCCGTGCTTCGCTCGTAATTCTCGGTAATTAATAATCTGCAACAAGTAATAATAAAGCCAGTAATCCGGCTGCGCGCGGCGCCGCGACCGGGCAGCGTTCTTAATTCTGGATAATTAATGCAAAGACAAACAAGAAGGATTAAAACCCAGGAGAGCTACCCACCAACCCACCTTACTGCTCTTTCTCTCGTTGTTTCTCCGTACTTTTCCCTCTTTTTAACGCTGCTGTTCGCTTGTACAACGC